TTTTTAATCAGTATTTCATATATTAATTTATTTTTCTATAAACATTTTATAAAGAACACATAATTCGTAAATTACTTTTTGATTAATATTTTTTTGTAAAGAAAATTGGTTAAATTTTTCTATTTTAAAATATTTAATTAACTCGAGTATAATAATATATTTAGTACGTTAAATAAAATTAAATACATAGCTCCTGATCAGTAGTGAATAAAATCGGAATTTTAGTAAATTTTAATAAAAGTTGATGACATGCGTGGTTGGAAAATTGTGAATCCTATAAAATATATGGTTAAAATTAATTGTTGACTTTGACTTAAATTAAAATCATAATTTTAATTTCTATCAAACAGGGCATATGGCGTGTTCGAGAGAGATTTTAATTCAATCAAAATTGAAAATATAGTCGTTATTGGGTCCCACTCATCTAATAAAAGTCAACAATAACGACTAATTTTTCTATTTTAATATCTCCCAAACAAGCTCTAAATAGAATTTGTTGCACATCCAAATACACGTGACTGAGTTACTCCGTCCACACAACTCACCTTAAGAGGCGCGTGTCCACACACAATCTCTTTCCCTTTCTGGTACGCAACAAAACTCCTGCGTCCATGCAAACCAAAAATATACACTCGTCGTGAATGGAATTTTAATTCAAATCCCAATTTTATCCTCATCTTCTATCCATAATTCCCTTTTCCTTTTAAATCAAACTCTCTTTTTATCTCTCTATTTGCTTTGAGATTCATTCATTACCATCTATTTTTTTTCCTAATTCTCTCTCTAAACCTTTAGTTTCTTTACAGGTATACACACACGATACGCAAATTTATTTGTTGAGCTACAGTATGGCAGTAGCATCGATGGAACCGGCGATACCGGCGTCGTTGTATGTGGGGGACCTGCATCAGGATGTGACGGATGCGCAGTTATTTGATGCATTTTCAGAGTTTAAGAGTCTGGAGTCTGTACGCGTCTGCCGTGATTCCTCCACCAGCTGCTCTCTCTGTTATGGCTATGTCAACTTCATCTCCTCGCAAGATGGTACTATTTTGTCTACATGCATTTGAATTATATTTATCGATGACTGTACATGCGGGAGTCAAAGTGTGAGTGGGAATGGATCGGAGTGTTTTTGTGTTCTGATCGGTTTTTGCGATTGAATTTTCCTCGAATTCGTTGATTTTAATTCGTCCCAAGGGATTTTTTGTATGAATTTCCTAGATTGACCGTTTTAATAAAAATTAAATAGATAAACGAATAAAAATATTTTGATTCAGCAATATTACAAAATGGCCACACCTATGCACATTGATGCATGCACTTCTTTTGCAGGCTTTCATGGGTACATGAGACTATTTCGGAATTCTTGTTCACTATTTACTGATGAATTGCTTCAACTTGTTTGCCAAGTTGAAAATTAAGAATATTTTGTTGATTTCCCATTTTTAACGGTTGAAGAAGAAAAGGCCTTTTGTAATTGATTTCTTTTTGTAAGTGGAAAGAGACAGTTCTTCAATTGATTGTTTACTCAAAATCATGATGTGTCTATGAGTTTGCGTACATCGGTGCATACGTTATCTTTTGTGTGAGAGCATACCAAGTGGGTCATCCCATCTGTACAGGATTGAACGAGGTTTGAATTTTAATACTTTTTCACGGGTTTGTATTTTAATGTATTTGACAAAATCAATTTACAATTGGATTGTAACTGAGGGAAGAGATGATGCAAAATATTGCTAAGTAAATATGCCTTCGGCAATTCAGTCTGTTATTATGTCTTCTGTACTATTTAGATTCGAGGAAGGATGAAACTAGTCTAATACATATCATAATGGTTGGGCTTTTTCTGTGAGGCTTGTAATTTTGTGGTGCCATGAATTTGATTCACATGTTTGAGATGGAGATGGTATGGTCTTTTCCTATTAGATTTACCATACTAATCATTTTCCATTTTCTTTTTGCAACTCTCCATGCTATTGAGGTGAAAAATCATTCTACATTGAATGGGAAAGTGATAAGGGTTATGTGGTCTCATCGTGATTCAGACGCAAGAAGAAGCGGGATTGGGAATGTGTTTGTCAAGGTATATTGCTGTTCTAATCCAGAAATATTGTTGGGTTATTGATAATTATTTTTAATTCTTTCGTGATTCACTTATTTGATAATATCGAACTGTTTCTTGGCTTTGTCTACAGAATTTAAGTGACTCCATTGATAGTGTGAAAGTTCAAGAAATGTTTCAGAAGTTTGGTAATGTATTGTTTTGTAAAGTTGTCGCGTCTGATGATAGGAAAAGCAAAGGATATGGCTTTGTCCAGTTTGAGTCTGAAAACTCTGCAAATGCTGCCATTGAGAACCTTCACGGCTCCACTGTTGGAGATAAATAGATGTAAGTGTTATTTGCCTAAACTATAACCTCTTGCATGCGTGCTTATATATGGATTTTATTTTGTAATGTGCAAGTTTGTTTTCTTATCACCAATAATTGTTTTGCTCCATAATCCAACAACATTATACTTGCACAGTTATGTCGGCAAGTTTATATTTAAGGTGTTTGTGTTGTGTTAAAAGTGCACAATATGAGTTAAAGTTAAATTTATAATAAGCTAGGAGTTTGTATTTAAATAGTACTAGCATTCCTAGAAAACGTGCGATAAGATCAGAGGGGATATGTGAGCTAGGGCTAATGACCCGACCTAGTAACGGGGGCCCGACCTCAAGTAAGCCCGGACTTAGAAATAACCCAATAACAATGGACTAAGGTCGAGCCAATAACTTCGAGTTTGGGTCCAACAAGGTCGAGCGAGCTGAGGTCGGGTCCAACAAGGTCTATTATACGCATCATAACCTATTTTTGTATAAATAATAAACTTAGAATAATGTCGTCTGGACAATGAATTAGAGAACAAACCGACAAAATATAGCATTACGTTTTAGTGATATTTGTTTGAGCAATGAATTAAGGGATCTACCGATAAGAGATAACATTATTCCATTCACAATTTTATTTTATCTCAACATTTAAAAAAAAAAAAGTAAGTTGGTCGCTAACATTTCCTTATAGCCCGATTTATTCCAGACATAATTAAAAATTCGTATGACTTTCACGTATCTAACATGTGATATCAAGTTTTCTTTAGGGATCGAAAAAGAGTAGAGTTCGTTCTGTCGAATGGGTGGCCGGTAGCAGCCCTTCGGCTGAGGTCCGGTGGAGAATTACCCAAATATAAGCTGAAACTTCTGAAATTTCAAATACTTATTCTTTTCTTTTTTTTTTTTTCATTTTTCATATTTTTTTTTTCCAGTTTTGAAGTAGTCTCGGGCTCTTTTGGGGTCCACAAGAATTTTTCTCTTGCTTGTTTCTCCTTCTGCGTTGGCCTTTCCCTTTCACTTTTCTTTTTCTACGCTCATCCATATATTTTAGGAATTGGTTGCAAAATGATCCCTAACCTTTGTCTACAGTGTGGAAATATTTCTTATCTCTTCTTTCTTGACATGAACATCCATAATTTATGTATTTTGGTCTACAATTTATCCATTTTTAATCAGTATTTCATATATTAATTTATTTTTCTATAAACATTTTATAAAGAACACATAATTCGTAAATTACTTTTTGATTAATATTTTTTTGTAAAGAAAATTGGTTAACTTTTTCTATTTTAAAATATTTAACTAACACGAGTATAATAATATATTTAGTACGTTAAATAAAATTAAATACATAGCTCCTGATCAGTAGTGATTAAAATCGGAATTTTAGTAAATTTTAATAAAAGTTGATGACATGTGTGGTTGGAAAATTGTGAATCCTATAAAATATATGGTTAAAATTAATTGTTGACTTTGACTTAAATTAAAATCAGAATTTTAATTTCTATCAAACATGGCATATGGCGTGTTCGAGAGAGATTTTAATCCAATTAAAATTGAAAATATAGCCGTTATTGGGTCCCACTCATCTAATAAAAGTCAACAATAATGGCTAGTTTTTCAATTTTAATCTCTCCCAAACAAGCTCTAAATAGAATTTGTTGCACATCCAAATACACGTGACTGAGTTACTCCGTCCACACAATGCACCTTAAGAGGCGCGTGTCCACACACAATCTCTTTCCCTTTCTGGTATGCAACAAAACTCCTGCGTCCATGCAAACCAAAAATACACACTCGTCGTGAATGGAATTTTAATTCAAATCCCAATTTTATCCTCATCTTCTATCCATAATTCTTTTTTTCCTTTTAAATCAAACTCTCTTTTTATCTCTCTATTTGCTTTGAGATTCATTCATTGCCATCTAATTTTTTTTCCTAATTCTCTCTCTAAACCTTTAGTTTCTTCACAGATATACACACACCATACGCAAATTTATTTGTTGAATTAAAGTATGGCAGTAGCATCGATGGAACCAGTGATATCGGCGTCGCTATATGTGGGGGACCTGCATCAGGATGTGACGGATGCGCAGTTATTTGATGCATTTTCGGAGTTTAAGAGTCTACAGTCTGTACGCGTCTGCCGTGATTCCTCCACCTGCTGCTCTCTCTGTTATGGCTACGTCAACTTCATCTCCTCGCAAGACGGTACTATTTTGTCTACATGCATTCGAATTATATTTATCGATGACTGTACATGCGGGAGTCAAAGTGTGAGTGGGAGTGGATCGGAGTGTTTTTGTGTTCTGATCGGTTTTTGCGATTGAATTTTCCTCGAATTCGTTGATTTTAATTCGTCCCAAGGGATTTTTTATATGAATTGACTGGATTGGCCGTTTTAATAAAAATTAAATAGATAAACGAATAAAAATGTTTTGATTCAGCAATATTACAAAATGGCCACACCTATGCACATTGATGCATGCAATTCTTTTGCAGGCTTTCATGGGTACATGAGACCATTTCGGAATTCTTGTTCACTATTTACTGATGAATTGCTTCAACTTGTTTGCCAAGTTGAAAATTAAGACTATTTTGTTGATTTCCCCTTTTTAACGGTTGAAGAAGAAAATGCCTTTTGTAATTGATTTCTTTTTGTAAGTGGAAAGAGACAGTTCTTCAATTGATTGTTTACTCAAAATCGTGATGTGTCTATGAGTTTGCGTACATCGGTGCATGCGTTATCTTTTGTGTGAGAGCATACCGAGTGGGTCATCCCATCTGTACAGGATTGAACCGAGGTTTGAATTTTAATACTTTTTCACGGGTTTGTATTTTAATGTATTTGACAAAATCAATTTACAATTGGACTGTAACTGAGGGAAGAGATGATGCAAAATATTGCTAAGTAAATATGCCTTCGGCAATTCAGTCTGTTATTATGTCTTCTGTACTATTTAGATTCGAGGGATGATGAAACTAGTCTAATACATATCATAATGGTTGGGCTTTTTATGTGAGGCTTGTAATTTTGAGGTGCCATGAATTTGATTCACATATTTGAGATGGAGATGGTATGGTCTTTTCCTATTAGAGTTACCATACTAATTATTTTCCCATTTTCTTTTTGCAGCTCTCCATGCTATTGAGGTGAAAAATCATTCTACATTGAATGGGAAAGTGATAAGGGTTATGTGGTCTCATCGTGATTCAGATGCAAGAAGAAGCAGGATTGGGAATGTGTTTGTCAAGGTATATTGCTGTTCTAATCCAGAAATATTGTTGGGTTATTGATAATTATTTTTAATTCTTTCGTGATTCACTTATTTGATAATATCGAACTGTTTCTAGGCTTTGTCTACAGAATTTAAGTGACTTTATTGTTAGTGTGAAAGTTCAAGGAATGTTTCAGAAGTTTGGTAATGTATTGTCTTGTAAAGTTGTCGCATATGATGATAGGCAAAGCAAAGGATATGGCTTTGTCCAGTTTGAGTCTGAAAACTCTGCAAATGCTGCCATTGAGAACCTTCACGGCTCCACTGTTGGAGACAAACAGATGTAAGTGTTATTTGCCTGAGCTATAACCTCTTGCATGCGTACTTATATATGGATTTTATTTAGTAATGTGCAAGTTTGTTTTCTTATCACCAATAATTGTTTTGCTCCATAATCCAACAGCATTATACTTACACAGTTATGTCGGCAAGTTTGTGAAGAAGAGTGACAGGGCTGTAACCAATCCTGAAGCTAAATACACAAATCTGTACGTGAAGAATTTAGATTGAGATGTCACTGAAGACCTCCTTATGGAGAAGTTCTCCGAATATGGAAAAATTATAAGCTTAGCCATCTTAAAAGATGAGAATGGAGCATCAAGAGGCTTTGGATTTGTCAACTTTGAGAATCCGGGCAATGCCAAACGTGCATTGGAAGCTTTCCATGGAACACAACTTGGTATAGTCATGAAGTCCTACCGAGGTTTATTATATGATAAAGTTCTCACTTGTCACAACTGCTGCTATTAGAAACTCTTTTCTAATCATGTTGTGTGTGTTGAGTAGGCTCAAAGGTTTTATATGTGGCCCGAGCACAAAAGAAAACAGAGCGTAAGGAAATGTTACACCATCAATTTGAAGATAGAAGGAGGGAGAAAATCTTGAAATACCAGGTTATGAGGAATCATTTCCTTGGTTAAAGGCTTGTAAAATTTTTTATATCATCTATATATTTATAATTTTCTTTCAACCTTTTGATTTCAGGCTTCAAATGTGTATGTGAAGAACATTGATGATGATGTTACTAATGATGAGCTGCGGGAACACTTTAGTCAGTGTGATACAATTACTTCTGCGAAGCTTATGCTAGATGATAAAGGAATGAGTAAGGGGTTTGGATTTGTTTGTTTCTCCACGCCTGAGGAGGCGATTAAAGCTGTGAACACTTTCCATGGTGAGTATGTTTATGTATGAGTCTAGATTGAATGGAATATAAATCTAGCAAGGCATCTAAAGATATGCATGTGACTATGTACATAAATTTTGGTTCCAGAGATTCAGCCATACCTGCGTGCATATTTTGTTTCTTCTGCTTGATTTTTATTATTATATAGATTAAATACACAATTATACTATTATACGACCTTTTCTTCATCGTGATGCAAATACTCAATTTTCGTTGCATGAGGAACCAACGAAGGATGATCTCATTACAGAGCAATATAATGGCGGTAATTGCATTGCAGAGTTGGTTCCTTCATGCAGCTATTGTGAATGTGCATCACACCTGTATGTGCAATTTATTTTGCTTAAATTCTATTACTGAGAGACCTTAAAAGTGTTGTTATTTTACTTTTTATAATCTAAGGGTTGTATTTTTTTGTTTCACTATAATATACCCCTTTCCATAAATTCAAATTTTCGGAAGAGTGTGAGTACCATTAGGAGCCCAGTTATTCTGTCTTTGGATGCATACTAGATTCTCTTTGATCAACAATAAAGGATTGCACTTCAGTGTGTGGAACTGTTTATATAATAGTAGAGGCTCAAAACCGAAGCCTTAGTCATATTCCCATTTTTCACTCTCCTCTCCCCTGCGCTTTGTGGATAGTCTCTTATAAATATGATAGTCTCATATTTAGGATCTCGTTAGCGTCGGTAGTTTAAAGATACATAAATTGATCTCTTGGACTAAAATTGTCCATAGATTGTAACGATCCAGGTCTCTATACCCAAGTCGTTAGTTTGCGTACTGTCCACTTTGGGTGCTGTCCACTTTGGGTGGACCTATACCCACTTATCCCTCACGGCTTTCTATTGCGTCTCCCAAGATTCGAATCCAAAATCTCTGTCTAATGACAGACTTAAGTTAAATCTTGGTACCATTGCTCAATTGATACCATAATTCAACTTAAATCTCCCATATGATGGAGGTCTTGAGTTCGAATCCTAGGGGATGTGTGAGAAAGCCATGAGGTGTAAGATGGACCTAGACTCTCCCAAAGCGGACAATATGTATGATATGATAATGATTGCGGCACGAGGTCACGTTGTTAAAAAAAAAGCGCATTTTTTTTTTTTGTAAGAATGTAATAATCTCACGTTCCACAACCTTTTTCTTTGATGCCCTATGTGTATATGCATGTTTGATCTAGTAAAATATATATAAATCTTTTATTCCCAACTTGGAGCACTTATTTTAAGGTAAATAATATTAATTCCTTAAAAGACGTGAGATATACATTTAGCCCCTGTTTAGCCCCCATTATTGTGCATTTTTTATGGTTGAAAATTTTTGGAATAGTGATTGATGGGAAAATGTGTGTTAGAAAAGTAGTGAAAAGTTTTAAATTTGTGTGTAATATTATTTTATTTGATGAATGTGTGGTTTAACGAAGAGATAAAAATTTAATGTAATGTAATGAAATTTAATGGGGGCCAAACATGAGCTTAAACAACTTAAAACTTTCTATCAAATCATATAGTCACACAATTTTCCATGTAATTGGCTCAAGTTACTCGCGATTATAACTTTTTTCCTTTTTTTTATTCAAAATTCTTATTTGATAAAAATCATCTAACAACTTACCATCAACATATGCTACACGTGTTACTCAGCTTAGCCCTTAATTTTAATCCAAGTCAAAGTCAAATAATCAATATTAACCACATCTTTCATGGGTCCCACAACTTTTCAACTACACATTTCAAAAACTCATATTACAATTTACTAAAAATCAAATTTTAATCATCATCAAACACCCTCTTAATTAAATTTTTTTTAAGACAATAACTTTTAACCTCGATAACTTGGGCCTCACTTATTCGAATTAACTTTTTCTCGAGTCTAATATTCAAGATTAATTATGATCTACCCAACAAGCCTAATATCCATATACTTATCTTTACTCCATCAATATCTAAATATTTGACCCATATAAAAATAAATTAATATATATACACACTTTAGTCCCTAATTTTCCAAAGCATTAAAAAGCATATAGAATAATTAATTATACTCTATGAAAATTTTCGGGACTTTACATAGATACCATGGAAAATTCTAAAACTTCTACTGATTTCTTTGAACACCTGAGGTTATTTTGTCCGAAATTTGGAAGTTTCAGTTTGGTGCACGTATGGGTACAAAGTTTTTATGGCGGAAAGTTTTATTCTCCATGGTATGCATGCTCTAATATTTTTTTGAACCCTGTGCAAAATTGGTTGCATCGGGTGGAAAGCTAGTAGAAAAATCAGTTGCATAGAAATTGCAAATGGCTTCTTAGAAACTTGCCTTTTAATCTTCTTTCTTCGTCATATGCTGGATAGTAGTTTGTCATTTCCTAGTCTCTACAAATACCATTGGGAAATCTCCGGTCTATGTTGCCTACATTTGATGTTGAACCTTGGGTCCGCAATCACTTTCTTATTCTTTTCCTGCAGTAAGATTCTTGATTTCATTTATTCTAGTGTTGAATATTCAGTACTTAAATCATTATGTATCGTGATGTTGAAGTCTTTTTCATGGATGTTTACAGGTTTCATGTTGCGTAGGAAGCCACTGTATGCAGCTATTGCTCAGAGGAAAGAAGAAAGACAAGCTCAGCTACAGCTACAATATGCACACCGTATTGCAGGGTTGGTAGGACCTTCGGCTGTTATTCCTGGCGGATATCCTACTCTTTACTACCCGTCTCCTGGTATTGTTTCACAAGTTCCAGCAGACCAGCACACCCTGGTTTGATGTATCAGCCTCTGGGGATGAGGCCAGGATGGACGGCAAATGGCTTTGCAGATCCTTCCAGACCTGCTTTTCAACCATCTCCAATTCCTTTGGTTAGTTTTAGTAAGATCTGTTTTAACACTCGAATCTTATAAACTGCTGTTCCCATGAATGCCAGTCATCTGTTATTGTCTACACAGTCTCAAGATGGTAGTTTTCTTCCCTTTCCCCTAATTTTTACAGACTCCTAATAATACAAGATCCAATAGACAAAACAGGGGTAGGATGAATGGGCATGTGCTACCACAGGGAGGCGGTCCCACATATCCATCAAATTTGCAACAAGTATTATCAAAAGATTCAAGCAAGCACCAGGTTTATTAACACTATTTGTGACTATAATTCAAGTATCTCCAAAGTTTTTATCACTTATATCACGACTTTATACGCTAATTGATCATTCCATGTATTGTTCCTTGATTATATTTGGGGAAAATATATGCTATAATTATTTACTTTATACCAATCTTCTATCTCTCAATGTCTTTAACATGAATTGGTAGTAGAGGAATGTCACTGAAATAAAGAACATCTTTTCCCTGCTAGGCCTGTCATTTTTCTTTTTCTTTTTTGTTGACAAGAAGGTAATTGCATTGAAAAAAAAAAACTCTACTCCACTGGATGCTCAGTCTAAAAATTTGTATGGAGTTTGTTTACATATAACTGGCTAATATTTCCTGGAAGAAAACGGCTGGTTACTGCTCTTAACGCAATGTGTTGCTGCTAAAGTTTTCTTGAACTTCAGTAAGAACAAGAACGACAAATATTTCAACATTGCTTTATTATGTTAAGGGAGACGGCGCCAAATAAGCTTATTAGAATGTGCAGACATCTTCCTATTTTGATCAAATTTATACTATATTTCAATTTTAACTACCTAGGATTGAACTAATTCTATTTGGATGAAAAAGTGTCCACAAAATACCTGCTCATTTTTGTGAATTATATCCACTTCTAAAAATTTCAATAAAGATTCTGTTGTTACTTTGATGTTTTATGTACTGTTCAACTCACACTAGAGTTCCTGAGCTACAAAACGTAGTGCTTGTGCAATTTTATACCAGTATAAAAAAAATGTGTAAGCTTTTTCAGCATGTTGGGCATGTCAAATATGTGCCAAATGGGCGTTCAAGCAAGATGAGCAAAGGATCTCCTGTTCCCATCGCTGATGGATCTGGTGCTGAGGGATCAGAGATGTTAAGTAGCCAGCTTGCTGCAGCTCCACCAGAGCAGCAGAAACAGATGCTTGGGGACCGTCTGTATCCGCTTGTCAGTCAACATAAGGTAAATCCTCTCCATAATATTCCTTTAGTTTTCTACTTCTATATTTGGATGTATGGATTTTGTATATTTTTTGGTCCTTTTGTTTGATTCAAATATATGTATGTATATGTTATGAACCCTGTGAATTGGTTAGAACCATTTCTATTGCAATTATAGATTTATGATCAAGATTCTTTGCATGAAAATAAGTGATTATTACTGGAAACTGGGCTAGGAAGAAGATCAATTGATTGGTTCATGATAATTCTTTAGATGGCTGGTTGTCATAATAGATTGTTGGATGTGATGATCATTTAAATGGAAATAAACTGTTTTACATAAAACAGTGCTCTACAAAAATGAAAAGAAGAAAAGTTCATTATAGTGTTTTAGCAACTTTATGTCTACCTCAGATAATGACTTTATTCTTTTTTTGTCAGGTTAAAAATGATTATTCTATTGGAATTCCTAAGCAAATTTGTATGCATTGCAGCCTAATCTTGCCGCAAAGATTATGCTAATGGAATTTCTATGCAAATTTGTATTCCTTGCAGCCTGATCTTGCTGCAAAGATAACAGGGATGCTTTTGGACATGGACAATTCAGAACTACTGCTATTATTAGAGTCACCGGAGTCACTAGCTGCCAAAGTGGAAGAAGCTGTTCAGGTTCTCGAGCTCTCAAAGGCCAAACCCAAGATGCAATTCATTCAAATTACCTTTCTGCCCAAGTTGCAGTCAACTGAGAGGAAAGTGATCAAATTTCAAACACAAGTTTCTTTGACATTCATTGCCTGACATTCATTGCCATTTAAGTGCAAAAAAGAATCCTGTCCTTTTCATCTAGTTACCTTCTTGAATTTTTGATGCGTCCTTGCTTAGTTATATAGCTATGATGGAGTTGCAGTGATGATACCAAGCCTTTTAGTATCTTATTCTGATGTGTGGTAATTTTTTATTTGTGCTTTCTGAAGATAAAATGAAAATATCTAGCACGAGACTGCTTATGTGTTTATGAATCACTTTGTACAGATTAGGCTTGATTTGCTTGTAGCCCAATGTTCAGGTTTCAGCTATTGCCACTTTGGGCTGCTGGCTGGTTTTGTTGTCAATTTTTTACTCTTTTATTGGAGTTTTAGAATGCAGATTGATTCTCTTTATAGGAGTTTTTGTTGATTTTCATGAATGGGCGTTTGTATTAGATTTATTATTAGAAAGGCATGTTATGACTTTGGTATATATCATATATGTATAATCTTTTGAACTGTTGAGTATCTCGATTGATCAAGTGTAAAATTTAATCTTACACCGGTAGGATAGAGAAGTGTATATATTCTTGTTCAACTGGCTAAAGTTTGGTAGAAAAGAGTAGTAATGGAGAAATGTCTTAGATTATGCACAACGTATAGCATGTTCCTGTCTGAGGGAGTGTCATACTAACATTCATATTGATGTAGTACATCACAACTACAATTGATAGTTTCACTTTATCTAGGAGTTTGTCTTTTTTAAATTATTTTTTCTAATTTCCTTTTCTAATTGT